ATCCACCACAATTTGTCTATGATGATGAAGAATACAAGGATGTCTTCTTGTCAGGTAAATAACAAAACATGTGACAACATTATTATACATTCTGCATCTAGTTAGTTTACATTATAGTAATCTAACTCATTTAGATTTAACTCTTAAGTAGGATAGGAGAAGGGTAGAGGGGCAGTCCATTATCCACCGAGTTCAAACCATGTTCCAGTATGCCCTTGGGATTTTCTCAGTTATTCACCCAGCGAAAGCAAGGGGTTTGCCTTCTGGGTTGAGCTCGTCGCACCAGGTTTGCCTAGTGCGGGTTACCTCTCCTATGTGGTTTGCGAGCTATTGCATAGGAGCGGAGGTTTTACCCTGTGCACACCCAAAGGGTAGCGGCTGCGGGTTTCCCTTATCATCAAAAAAAAAAGAAAAAAGGATGAACTAGGATGTGATTTCAGATCCCAAGCCCTCCTGATCTCTCAAATAGGAATACATACATGACATTCAAATAGTTTCAATTTGCTGCTCTCACAAATTTTGGGATATAATGCTGATACTCCCCTCGCCTCAAACAAAAAGGAAAAAAAATTGAAACTCAGAAGAAGACTCGATCAAGTCCGAGATTGGGAGAAAACAACAAATAACAAAGTAGTAACTCTTGTCAACGCTGCTTCAGTATCAATTTATTATTTACGATGTCCTCATAAGATGCAAATCTAAAGCCGCTATTTGTGTCAAAGTCGTTTTAGAAAATGAAAAAGGTAAGCATTTTGCAGGCATTAGAAATGAGATCGGAGGACTTCAACGTGAAGTTAGCATTAGTCTATTGAAAGATACTCTCATCTTGGAAATGTGTCCTATTGATATACTGGTTAAAGATGCAACCCTTAGATGAATAACTTCCCTTTTAAGTTGAGGATCTTTCGAAAACAACCTCTCTACCCCACAAAGGTAGGGGTAAGGTCTGTATATCTCACCCTCCCCAGTGGGATTACACTGGTATGTTGTTGTTAAGGAAAGCTCAATTTCAGTGAAGTTAAGCTGCTTTTGGACATATAAATGCGCCCTTTGACATTTTCCATCGCATAATTAGCAGCCACTCTCCATAAGATTTCACTGTTCTTGCTATGACCATACCCTGATTAAGCGATACCGAGGAAGCAAAGAAAGATTCTTGCTTTGGATTGTTTATGAATGTTCACTACCAAATTGTTTCTGCATATTGTATATCACTGTGTAATTCTGCTCTCTCTGAGATATATCTGTGTCATTGTTGTGAATTTGCAGAAGCAAGTTTCATCACTCGACCAGCCAACGAGTGGTATGTGGAACCTGTTTCAGGTAGCAATATTGGTGATCAACCTGAGTTCTCCACATCTTTTGACATGTCTCAAGGCTCAGAAGAGCCTGTAAATTGAAGCAATAGGAGAAGTTTTTGTTGTAAATGTTATGTCCTATAAGTTCTGTAATCTCATCCTTTCACTTTGGATGCACTATTCAAGAAAATAAAATTAGTCACAATCTGGTCGAAGTGGCAAATGAGCGGGTTAGGTCAAACTTGAACAGGTTACATCAATAAATATACCCGTTCAAAATTTACTTGGGTTGAAATGAATTGGTTTACGATTAGTCAAAAACGAGGTTATAGTCTAATTCGTCCAACTGTCCCTCCTCTTTATTTTGCTTTTGAGAAGAAAATGTGAAAATTAACATGTTTTAGTTTTATTAGTATGTTTATTTTGGATCGATTGCTAATAGGGGTGTGCATTGATCGGTTCGATTTATCGATTTTCGGTTTTTAAATATGTTAAACCAATAATCAAACCAATAAGATATTTTTTATCGGTTTTCAGTTTATCGGTTTTGGTCCTTAACGGTTCGATTTTCGGTTTAACCAAGAAAATACTTATAAAACAAATATATAACTTTTCTAATAAATTTGATGTGAAGACACAATAATGTAACTTCACAATACTCATAAAATAGAAACAATAATAACAAATATCTACACAAAAATTAACATGAATAAGGCTCTTATTTTAGATTTTAACGTTTTTTATAATGTGAAATTGTGAACTCAAAGTCACTGTGAAGTGTGAATTGAAGGTTAAAGGACAAAGATAGTAACTACTAAGGTATTGAGATTAATATATAATATTTATGTACAAGTAAAAGTAGTAAATTACTAGTTTTATTGGGTTATCGGTTTATCCAATAATCCATTATTATAAACCAATACCGAATCGATAACCCAATAATTTTTTTTATAAAACAATAACCGTTAACCCAATAACAATAAACCAATAACACTTTTATCGGTTCGGTTTATCGATCGGTTCGATTTTTGCAACCCTAAATTTGCTAACTTTATCTAAATTCATATGACCATAAGTCATAACACAGAAAACCTTATTATACTACTACTGCTACTATTGTTATTTATATATATTTAACTTTTTTTAACTTATTAACCAAAAAAAAAGAAAAAACTTTTTTTATCTTTTTATTTGGTATGATGATAGTTAAATGAGTTAAACTTAAACGGAGAAACAAGGCCACTATAATAACTTTTTTACAAAGGGTGTTCAACTGACTATTCCTAGTCGGGAGCTCGCGGTAGCTCCGCCCCTGGTTAGCACAAAAGTCAAGAACACGTATCATGACTACAAAACAATTACTGCACTGCCAAATCAAAGCTATTCAACAGTATCATGACTACTCCCTCCGTTCTATTTTATGTGGCATCATTTGACTTTACATAGTGCTTAACATTTTGTTTGGATGATTGTTACATATTGTTTCATAATGTATCGTATTGTATTGTGTAGTATTATATTGTACTTATTGTTTTAATGAATACACTGTTTGAATAGATTTAACGTTCTCTATCGTTACTTAATGTAAAATATTCATAGTTTGAATGATAAACCTACAAAAAAAAAATAGGGTACGAGGTAGTGCTACTATGAAAAGGAAGGGTAAATGATAAAATGGAATTATTAAATAATAAATAAAGACAAAATGAGAAGAAAATATTAAGGTAACAATGTGATCACACCAAATCAATCATTACATAAAATGGGTCTTTTCGTCGTTACCTAACAATGAATTTAAACAATACGATACAATATAATCTAATTTAAGTAACAATCAAAACAAGCACTATATTTAAAGAGAAAATGACCAAAAGCCCCCCCAACCTATAGCCGGATTCCCAACTACACACTCATACTTTACGGGGGTCCTATTACCCCCTTGAACATTTTTTTTTACTAATTTTCTCACCCTTATTTGCTGACATGTCCAAGAAGGTGAGATCAACTCCCTTAGGCGCGTAAGAACAGAAAATAAAACGTTAAAAGCTGAAGAAAACTACACATGTGAGTCCAAATCAGCTATATTAAATCTCCAATGGTATAATCTCATCTCTCCCAAAATCAAACTCTCTTTTTCTTCCTTTTTTTCTCAATTCTTCTAATAGTTGACAAATCTCCAACGGTATATTCCTTCATTCTCTCCCAAATCAGCTTAAAACTTGAATTTACTTGTCAAAGCATTCAACTGTAGTTTCAATTTCGAAAAAGCTTGAAGCTTTAGGACTTGTAATTTCTCTGATTTCATAGTTATGGTTCAAAATTTTTCTTCAATGGAATGCTATTATACCAAAACCCAGTTATTGCTCTTCATTTTTTTGTCAATTTCATAACCCTAATCAAACACAATAATCAATATCGTTCAAAATCGCTAGTAAAGAACTAAAAGAACTAACCTTTACTTAGAGAAAACTTCGACCCAACAAACGAAAAAAGCTAAACGAACCTTCCCCAACCTTCCCAGCAAACTTCAATTGGAACGAAATCTCAGATCGAAGAGAATGGGGGTGAATTTGGTCAGATCGAAAAAAGGTTAGGGTTTAGAGAAAGGAGGAAAATGAAAAGATTAAAGGAAATTCGTGGGTTCTGGGGTCCAGTCATTATGTGGCAGCGCGTGTAAACAAACATTTAATTATATCTGGTTTATGTGGACACGTCAGCAAATAAGGGTGAGAAAATTAGTAAAAAAAAATGTTCAGGGGGGTAATAGGACCCCCGTAAAGTATGAGTGTGTAGTTGGGAATCCGGCTATAGGTTAGGGGGGCTTTTGACCATTTTCTCTATATTTAAACTAACAATACAATACAGTATAACGGGTAACAACCATCCAAACAATGTGTAAGAAAAAAGGAAGACTTTTGAAACCTGTGATCTAAAACAATCCTTGAATATTTGTGTGGTTGTTAATCATTTCATTAAAGGTAAAAGGGGAATCTGAAAGTCAAATATGTTTTTAATTATAGTAAGGTGACATTCTTTTTAGGACAGACTAAAAAGGAAAGTGTGCCAGACTCAGTTGACTCAGATGAGTATTATATAACAATATGCTACTAAAATCACTACAGGAGTACTAGTTATATATGTAATCATTCCCCCACCCTAATTATCACACTCATGGACGACGAGAAGGCTATGTTGCTCGGACTCTTCAAAAGTGTCAATGAATACGTGTCAGATTCTCTAGAAGTAGTGTACCTTTGGGGAATCCGACACGGGTGCGACATCGAAAGTGAAGAGTCTGCGCAACTTAGCGAGAAGGTGGAAGACTAAACATTTCATATAGCCAGAAAAAAACTGAGTGCTACTGTGACAGAATCAACTGCTACAAATGAGTTTTTAGCATTCTGCAGTTTGCTGTTTGCTGTACTGAATGTTGAAAGCCTGCAATGTGAGGAGAAGAAGAACAGAAGTAAATCTACAAACTTTAGATCCATCTAGCTCAACCTATGAAAGGACATTAAGAAACGAAATCCTCAATCCGCGTCTGTCACAAAATGTACCAACTTATGGAAGTACATTTAGCTGGGACTCGACTGCATTCATTAATATGAGGATTCATTATAACTATGTTTATGCTAGCCATTAACCAGTCACCTACGCTAACTCCACAAAAAAAATGGCAATTGCTTGTGTTTCTCAGATATATTAGCAACAGAAAAGCAAAACATCATATAGAAGATAGAGCATAGAACGAAAAAGGAACATTATAAAGCTATAGTTACCCGTAATTTAGATCCACGATAGAGTTATGAACTTACTTTATGATATTCAAATACGAACATGCTAAAATATGTTAGCTTTATTTTCATAGACATAAGAGTCATACATCATTCAGCGCTTGTTAAGCACTAGCAGCATCCCCAATAAGCTTGAAGTCTTCAACTTGCTTGAAGTTCTGCCATTGCTTCACCCAGACCTTGGCTTCATATGCTTTCTTCTTACCACCTTCAGTCGCCTCCAGTGTTATGTAGTACATGGTTCCAGCAACCACTTGTTCCTTCACATTCACAACCTTTCCAAACTCCAAAAGAGCATTCTGATATACACAATATTGTTCAAAAAGCAAGAACAGTGAGACAAGAGTGCTGAAGCAATTTCCTCAGTCATAACGGAGTGCAAAGAACAAGAAGGTTGTCCACTGTACATGCTTAATCACATACAGACAGACTTGGAAAGTTGGTAAAAACATGAATCTTTGCCTCGAAGTCGGTAAAGACTAAGATACTTATTTCGTTATTTCAGTTTCGATCAATGCAGCTCTTCATCTCTCTCGGAAGAGCACTATCACACCTACCACATGCTAATGAAAATTGTTTCGAGAGCGTAAACTTAAATAAGATAGAAGTTGGAACAGTTGCACAAGCTTATCTCAATTAGTTTATCAACTTATAAACCACTCTCTTTGTCCCATACCAGAAACAATTCAACATTCAAGATTCAAAAAAATAAGACTCTGATTGAAATATTCTTAGCTCAAAGGTTTAAATCATCAGACACTTTTTCCCCTTTTTTATAGATATGATTAAAAGTTTAAAACCACAACAACAACATACCCATTGAAAATCCCACAAGTGAGGGTCTAGAGAGGGTAGAGAGTATGCAAACCTTATCCTTACCTGGTGGAGGTAGAGAGGCTGTTTCCGAAGGCGAGTAAAGTTTTAAAACCATTACTACTAAAAATGATGTTATTCAGCATATAAAATTGTTACATTTGAAAATGATAAAACTAAATTTATTACTTGTTGAGGCAAATTAGCTCCCAAAAACAGACAGTGCACATAATTAGGAATCAAGTGATTTTATCCTTGAATTGTACAAGTAAGTAACTCTTTTAATCTCAGCTCTTAGGGGTCGTTTGGTACATGAGATAAGTAAAATAATTTCATAACAAAATATTGGATTAACTATATCCCATATTTGGTTTAAGGCATTAGCTAGTCACGGGATTATTTTATCTCACCATTTGTACTAAAATAATGAGTTTAATACTCCATATGGACGGTGGAATAAAATAATCACATCGGATATCCTTTCTTATCCCATCCCGGGATTATAACTAGAGTCTAGAACTAAAACCTGGATAACTTATCCCATATAGTCCTGATTTTAATACTGGTTTTAGCTAATACTTTCAACCAAACATGAGGTTAAATTTAATCCCAAATTCTAAACCCGAGATAACTCGCCTAATCCCTCCAACCAAATGAGCCTTAAGGGTTTCCATTATTTTCAAATCATATCACTCTCTGTGTTTCAATTTATTTGTCTCGTTTTGATTCGGCACGATATTTAACACACTACATCAAAAATTGAATCTTGTGATATTAAACATGTTCGCGCAGAAAGTTGAAATTAAATAATTATCAAAAATAGGAACGAAACATTCTTGAAAAATAGTGACGGATGTTTCCCCTTAGTAGTAAATTGAGTTCACCTAATTTGAAACTGAGATAATAGCAAAAAAATCCCATTTCAAAACCCACGTAGAAATCAGAATAACAAAAACAATCAAATTCATCCACAAACAAAGGGAGAAAAGGGGGAAAAAAAAGGAACCTGTTTCTTATTGTGTTCATCAACAGCAAAACGAGCAAGATCGTTGATCTCAACGCTATTTTCGGATCCTCCAGCTTCACGAATTCCTCCTAATGTCGCCATTTTTGAGTCTCTGTAAATGGGGTTTGAGAGATATAAGAAGAAGAAGAAGAAGAAGAATAGTCAGTCACAATCAACGAATTTAATGGAGCGCGTTTGATTAAAGCTTTGCACTGAATAATACTCTCTACTAGCCCATACAATTTTACTTTTTCGCCCTTAGGCGGTCACGGGTCATAACGCACTCTATGCACAATAAACTTATTTTAACCAACCGTCGGAATATGTACAAGATATCATAGGGGTTTAATATCTTAGTAACACATTTTTCTAAAGTTTCGTATGAGACTTCATATTCGAAATGCAAGAATGATTTGACTAGAAAGTCATTCAAAACTTGATCGAAAAATCAGTTCGCACAACAAATCCACTTTGAAGTTGACTTATTCGCTCGGCCAGTCGTCGGAATGTGTACGAGATACCATAAGGGCCCAATATCTCAATAGCACCTTTGTCTAAAGCTTCGAAGGAGACTTCATATCCGAAACGCAGGAACGATCTGACTAGAAAGTCATTCAAAACTTGATCGAAAAACCAGCGTTTATTGAAGAAGCTATAGAGTCGATTACTAATAGTACTAGTTTGAAAGGCTCTCGTTGGAGTTGATTCATTATGAAATTAACATTATACGCGACATAAACACTTGAAGTACTAAGGGGATGATGTGTTAATTTGGTAATGATTGGAGTAGCAAACTCGAATTGGATAACAATATCATTTTTTTTTGAAGAACCTAGGGAGAATTGGCACACCCTCTATTTGAATAATTAATTTGACTGGTTTCATAATATATTTTTATTGTATTGTATTGTTTTTTAATGAATATAATGTTTGAATATATTTTATTATTCTTCAGTTGATAATATTATATATCAATAATTTGAATGATAAACATAAAAAATAAAATAGAGATAAGTAGCCGACTGTAGAAGGGTAACAACATAATTACACTAAGAGCCCGTTTGGCCATGCGATATGGTATCATGATATGATATCATGATATGGAATCATGAGATAAAATTGAAGTTTTGTTTGGACATGCGATATGAAATTTTTGTGTTGTATATTTTCTCATAAACATAAAAATCTCATAAGTTGTAAAACTATTAAAATAGCCCCAATTATTTATTCAATCTTATCAAATAAATAAAAATTTATAAAATCGCTTAATAAATTATTACAAAGCTATTTGTTCTCCACTAAAGTAATTGTTTCATTTAACTTTAATTTAATTAAAAAAATTAGAACATAAATTGTAGTGTACTAGCCTTTAATATAATCCTCCTACATAGTACGGAAAATTTCCTCACGTTTAACTTGCATTTCTCAATCATGTGACCGAGAAGACGAACCAACATTGTTACTTTGAGCCATTTGTTGTCAATATCATCCACAACTATATTTTCATGCTCATAGACTATAAATATTTCATCACTTTAACAATCGGTTGGTGTGAGTTAAAGTGACTATACGTTGGTGAGAATAATAAATTTTAAAAAGTAATGATGTGATGATAAATTTTATTTACATATGAAATAAATGGTTAATAGATATAAATGTGGGGTTGTTTTAACAAAATATAAACTCGTGGATCAATTTTTGTATTAATGGAGCGCGTTTGATTTAAGATTGCACTGAATAATACTCTCTACTTGCCCATACAATTTTACTTTTTAGCGCGGCGCACTCTATTGCATAATAATTTTATTTTAATAAATCCTCGAAATGTGTACAAGATATTATAAGGGTTTAATATCTTTGATAACACTTTTTTTCTTACGTTTCGAACGAGACTTCATATGTAAAACGTAGGAAGATCATACTAGAAAATTATTTAAAATTTGATTGAAAAATTAGTGTTTATTGAAGAAGCTATATAGTCGATTACAATAGTACTAATTTGAGGGCTCTCGTTGGAATTGATTCACTATGAAATTAATATTATACGCGACATAAACACTTGAAGTACTAAGGGGAATAGGTATTAGTTTGGTAATGATTGGAATAGCAAACTCGGATTGGATAAATATTAGTATTTTTTTGGTAGTACAAAGGGGGAATTGGTACACCCTCTATTTGAATAATTATTTTGAATGGTTTCATGATATATTTTTATTGTATTGTATTGTTTTTTAATGAATATAATGTTTAAATACTATATTTTATTATTCTTTAGTATTAGATAATATTATAAATCAATAGTTTGAATGATAAACATAAAAAAATAAATAGAGATAAGTAGCCCACTGTAGAAGAGTAATGTAACAACGTAATTACATTAAGTAATAATGATGATTTCAACAATATATTATATATAAAGTTATAAACTAACAATACAGTGTGTAACAATCGTCCAAAGAAGGTGTTAGAACCTATAAATAATGTATTGAAAAATGACTAAAGTTAATAATGAATGTCAATTATGAATTAAGGGTTCGTTTGATACTAAAGAATAAGGATAAGAGATAAACTAGTTCTGAGATTGATTTTAGAATAAGTTTCTTTCATGTTTGATTGAGATAAAATCGCTAAATAACTTATTTTAGAATTAATTATTAAATATTGTAACATTATTTTTATCACATACTGAAAATAAAGTAACAATTCTGAAATAACTAATCGTGAATACTTAAAATATATACTTGTTGAAAAGGAATTACATTATCTTTTATATCCATTTTCTTTTCTCAAATAAAGAGAAGCATATTAAATTATTTTGAATTTCAGATATTTTTCCTAATGTAAATAAAAGAGAAACTTCCTTTTTTATTACTATTATTTTTTCAGTAAAGAGAAAACTAATTGAAAAGAATCAAATTACCTTTTTCTTTTGTAAAAATAGTACGTGCATATTTTCCGATCACCGGCGTTTGTCAACTCACTAAACTCACCGATGGATTCTCCGCCGGAAAACGCCGGCAAGGGCCTAAAACCTACTATCTCCGTATACACTGAATACCTTTCGAATCGAATTTCCAGTTACTTTCCGGCGGCTTCCTACTCGAATTTCCTCAGCAGGATTTCCAATTTCTACCGTGGCAGCTCAGGCACCAGTAAACGACGTCGTAGAATTACCTCTCTCCCCCTTCCTTTCCCTTCCTCCGCTGAATCTTCTACGTAAGTCTCTGAAATCTCTTTAGTTAACTTTTTATATGACTATAGTGAAACAGCCTCCTGCAGAAATGCAGCTTTAGACTGTGCACAATAAACTCCGCCCCTTCCCCGGACCCGTGCATAGCGGGAGCTTTAGTGCATCGGGTTGTTTTTTTGTTTTTTTTTTATCTTTAGAAGTGAAGGATATCTCAGAGAACATTTTGTTCATAAGTAAGGTTTCTAAGCTAACTGAGATGCAGGGTTGTTTGTGAGGCATCTAGAACTGTTGGTGTTTTGGAGGACATTATGGAGTGCATCTTTCTAAATATGCATTACATCCAGAAGAACTTAGAATATTGGCAATCTAAAGCACAGGTTAGCTATTTTGTTAATTTGAAACAATACATGCAATCTCTTTTAACTGGTAAAGTTGCCTCCATGTGACCAGGTGGTCATGGGGTCAAGCTGTGGAAACAGTCTCTTGTCGAAATGTAGGATAAGACTGCAAACGATAGACCTTTGTGGTCCGGCCCTTCCCCTGACCCCGCGCATAGCCGGAGCTTTAGCGCTCCGGATTGCTCTTTTTTTATTTTCATACTATCTTTTTTAAGGCACAGTTCAAGTTAAATTTGTTATGTATGTGTGGTTTCAGGGATCAAATGCTAAAAGAGCATACTTCATGATATGTGAGAGAGGACCATATGCTTTTTTCAATGGCACAACTCAATTGTTAAGCGATTGTGTTGGTGAAGGTTGTGGGATGCAACATACATATTGTTTGGCATCTTCATATATATCTGAGAGGATAAATTTCTTGAGTAGCTTAAGATATCATTTGGCTACATTTTTGGCACAGGTTAGTTGCTTTTGCCTTAGTACACGTGAAAATTAATCATGTAACGTTATTTGGTAGTTTATTTCATTAGTTCTTTTCTTTGATGCTGTAATAATGTTCCTTTGCTGATTTTCTCATTCCGTACTGGTTCCTGTACATTTATTTGATTGTGTGTAAGGGAAAATGAGAAGTTGAAGAGTTGTTTAGATACCTTATTAGTTGTTGGGCTTCTAACCAGAGGATAGGAATTGAAGCATTTCAAGTTTAGGCTCCAGTTGGATACTGTAATCATCCAAGAGTATCCTTCAATTTTGATTCTCCTATTTGGTTAACAAGACATTTGACAGTGCTATTCTTTATCAGTTCATATCCCATTGTTCATACCAAATTGCTTTGCTTTGTTTTTTCTTTAAATAGTGACAATATTCCTATTGAGATAACTTCCATCAATTTCTCATATCCTCCTTATATCAGTTTATATCTTTACATTCTCAACTGTCCCTATAAAAGATGTCTCGCTTCGAAACACCATTCCCCCCTCCCCCCCCTGCGATATGTGATTGGAAAGAATCAATCTTTTGCAAGTTAAAGCCCTAATGCTGTGTGCACCATAGCTTGGGCACTTCACTTAACTTTGATGACACTTAAGTGCAGCACCAAAGTGCTAGGACACACATCTCAGTGCCCATGGGCTCTGTCTTTAGGTATGTCAACAATAAATAATATATAGCTAGTAAAACACGCAATAAATGAGAGCCTTGATAAACTTTTGAGAAGGAAGAAAAAAGGGGTGGCATGTACGCTTGATTTAGAGAAGGCATACATCCATGTCAATTGTCAATGCCTGTTGAATTTATTGAGACTGATGAACTTTAGTTATGGACAGGATGGATCAAATTCTGTATTTCAACAGTAAAATTCTCCATTTTAATTAACGGTGACCCTCAAAAAAAAATTCAGTTCTCAGAGAGGACTTAGGCAGGGGAACCCTCTGCCACCTTATTTATTTGTCTTGGTTATGGATATTCGGGCAGTACGATGTTGAAGAAAGCATGAACTCTAGGTTGGTTAAGGGGTCCAAAAATTGGTAGAAATGATCAGGATAGTATGATGCTTAACAATATCCTTTATGCAGATGATTCCCATCTATTTT